TGGGGAAGTCTCTCCAATGTCACTGTTGCAGTAGCCAGTGCACATGGAACGGCAGGATGCATCTTGTCCACTCAGCCAGCTAAATACCCTGGGCCAGCCCTGCCCCAGCAGATCTCCTGTGTGTTTAGATAAGGGGCCATCAAAAGTCACTGCTGCAAAACCAGAGGCAGTTTGGCTCTGAGGTGCAGTGACCCACCTTGCTAGAGGAGCAAGCTGCTTCTGAGCCTGTTGCCGTTCTGTGGGAGGAGGATCCTGAAACTAAATGGGAAACTGCCGGTGTTTTGCTGCCACGTTTAGCTTGATGGCAGTGCAGAAGAGTGGCGGAGAGGAGGCTGGCGGGTCAAAGGGGGCCCCCAGAGGCCCCTAAATTACCCGACCCTGATTTAAATGCTAATTTGACTGAGTAGGCATCCCTGCCTAGTTTTCCAGCCATTGCTATTCTTTCCATGCTTTCCTTAATTTATAGATGCAAATTGGTGAGGAAAGGATACCATTTGTTTTGTGGTTGCCCAGTAATAACCTTGACATCTAACAGTCAGTGAGTGACCCCAGGGAGCCCCTAGTTTTGCTGCCTGCCCAGGACTGCAAAAATAGTAGCTAGCAGGGTGTGGGGGGCACAAGCAGGCCACAGTTCAAGTCTGGTGGGCTACATTTGGGCAATGGGTCACATATTGTGCAGGGTTGGTTGCGCAGAATGGGTTTCACAAAATATCCAGTGAACACCAGGGACTCCTGGAGCTAAGCTGCCACCAGTGACAAACTGTGCCCCAGGACTGGTCTTTCCCAGCAACATTTGGTTGCAGAGAAGTGCAAAGCAGTTTTGGGGTGAGCTGTGCTCTTGGAGCCGCTCTCCGGGGCACTGGAGAGACCAACGAGGCAGACCAGCACAGGGAGCTGCATGAAGTGCTGTGCACAGTCACAGAACAGACTCCAAAATCTGGACTGCCCTGATGGTGAAAAGGTTGCAATTCATTTCTGGACAGTGAGTAGAAGACCATATAATTCTGCAAAGCGAGGGGCACATGCAGCATATTCTTGCCTCCCCAAGACATCCCATTTTTGACTTCCCGTCCCATCCCGTCCCTTCCCTTCCCTTCCCTTCCCTTTCTTTCTTTTGGCAAAATATGCTTGCAAGGCAATGGGAGACATGGAACAAATTGGGATGCCATCCGTACACATAGTGCGACTCTCAAAGGGCTTGTGCACTTAAATGTGCATCTTCATATATATTCTGTCCCAATTAGATCTGCATCTCGGGGCATGATTACAGCTGGGTCGGGCAAGATGCCTTTCCTGCTATCCAGGGGAGCAAGGAAATAGCCATTAGAGTGTTGCACCATGGGGAAACTTGCCCTTGTTTTTTTTTTGTTTGCATTCCCATCTATGAAGCATCAGATTAGGGTAATCATGTCTGCAAACAGATGTCTCAGATGTACTAAAACTTAGGGGAAAGGGCAGAGGGGGAATTGGCTAGCGAAACAGTGCTTTCCAAATAGGCAACTCTTCTCAGCAAATTACAGACCTCATAAAATTAAGTGCATGTCTATTAGAGGGTACTGTTAAGAAAAAATATGAAGCAAATGTAGAAATGGTTCGGGAGAAAGGCAAGGAGAGGACAGTGTATCAGGATGTAGGGTGACTTGAAGAGAGAAAGTGGAAGTCATGGAAAAGAGATGTTTGATTCCCCCTTTGTGTTTAAGGTGGGGGGAAGATGGAAGAAACATTTGTGGCTTCATCAACAGGGGAAGGCATGGAGGTGATCAACATGGCTGAGAGTGAGGACTTCCAGCGGTTGGCGAATGCAGCAGTGAAGGACATCTTGCTGGACTTGGCCATCTCTCTGAACACCGCCTGTGTCATGCTCTTTTTTTTATGCGTGACGTAGAGCCAGAAGTCTTAGCCATGATAATGGATGAAGACCACTTGAACATCTACTTGTGCTTCATGATTGCCTACTGAGAGGTACCTTGAGCTTCATCGCTCAAGCCCAGGGAACGTTGGGACACTACCAGACAACAGGACTTCTGTACCAGCTAGACACGTCTCTGCAAGGTGGCCCCTAAGAGGACCAATAAAACCCCTAACCAAATCTTGTAGTCTGTTCTAAGCCACAGATTTGCCCTTTGACCCTCCCTTTGTGATGCTTTCTCATGGATGCTCTCAGGTTTTAGAAGCATTCTAGACTGACAACTAAAAGTGCACTAAAAGTGCACTGGACTATACCACTGGCCATAGGTAAGAGACTGCATGCTCAACGCACTGACATTTTTTTAAAACTCACTGTACACAGCAAACAAGAAGAATGCCAGCCATGTTTTGCTATGATATACCTTAGCTTCTATGTACACAATTATTTTAATGTTTGCTGAAGAAGTATTTAATCAGGCAATTTCACCTGTAATTTGAAGTAGTACAGGTACAATTCCACCCTGTGTGGAGCTGCTTATTTAAGGAGACTCTATTGTTTGTTTGTTTAATTTCTAACCTACCCCATTAGCCACATGGCTCCCTGGGCAGGTTACATCTATAAAAACCAAATAAGAACAATATAAAACAGTATAAAAACATCAAAAGCGATGAAAACATGAATGGCAATAAAAGAACATCCATCAGAACTCCTGATTTCATAAAAGACATATCCCCTTCTGTGAAAACACCATTAAAAATTGATTTAACAATTAAAATACTGGTGGAATAAAAAGGTCTTTCCAGGTGCTGAAAAGAGTATAAAGATGGCTCCAGGAGAACTTCTTTGGGGAGCTCATTCCTAGAGGGTAGGCGTCCAAGTAGGTTCCAGGAAGTCATCTGGGCCAGAAGGTCCTCCTCCCCTCCCCCCCTCCTCTGAGCTGCAATTGGTAGGCCATGGCTGCCCCCCGAGAGCTTGATCCCTGCTGCCACCACCAGCAAGGGCTAGCCAGATGGAGCACGGGAGAGTGGGGCATGACAAAGCAGCTGGCAGAGGTGGGAGGTTGCTCTGGTCATGTCCACCTGGTGCTCTGCAGTGGCAAGGTAGCAGCAGCCAACAGAGCCTGGCTACAGGTTACACTCTTCATGGGAAAACTAGCTGGACTGTCCTTCTTTTTAGTATTTTGAAGGGTTCTTCTTCACACTTAGGGAAAACTGGAGGCATGTGCCTTGAAATTACTCTAGAGGAGGAGATCCCTCATTTCCTGACCACTAGCTATGATTGGCTAAGTGAGATGCAGCTAGGGAGAACTGAGAGGATGGGCCTGCCAGCCAGTCACATCATTCACTCTCTGCACATCAGGGCAAACTCCCCCATCTTTTTTCAGCAGTTAGCTGAGAAGGCTGCCAGAACTGTCGAGGCCAATCCAGATGTGGAGGAAAACAACTTCACAGAGGCCATTTTCACTGGGACCATTGCATTAAAGAATGGGTCAAACAGCCTCCTCATGTACTACAGTCCTTATTTCAACCTACCCCATGCAGCTGCTCTTTTAAAGAAATAATCAGAAATTTAATATAACATCTGGTTTGGTCCTCAGATCACAGCTGCTTTTTATGTAGGCTGCACTGGTTGTAGCTCGGCTCTCTGTACAAGAGCTCTCTGTAGCTCTTGCATGGTTCCTCTCAGACCAGTCAAGGGATGCGTAAATCCTTCTGCATTCTACATGAGCACCACAAGTCCCAAAGCCCCCACTGTTGCTCCTGATGGTTGTTGCTGTGCTTGATCCTAAACGGGCATAGATGTCCCCTATAACTGCTCATGGTAGATGTGCAAGAGAAGCTTGTTCTATACAGATTCTTTGGTGGCCCAGTGCCCCACACTCATTTTCCCTGCACTGTGATTCCCAATTATATGCAAAAGAAACATAAAATTCAAGACTTTTATTTACCTTAAAGACAAATGAGCACACAATGCAATGGTGCCATTACAGCAGCCCCAGAGTTACACAGTAAGATTAGCACTTGTTGTAGAAACTAGATAAAACTAGTTCATTTCATTAATTGTGCTAGTCACAGTGGCATAAAGATGGTATCAATGAACACTATCAATTATAACCTAGTTTTATGTCTTTTAAAAGCAGAAATTTTAAAAAGTACAATTGTTCTTTAAGGGAGTTGGACAAAGTCTTCACTGCACAGGTTGCAGTCAAATTGATAAATAAGTGGCACACTACATGGGGAAATTCATTTGCGCAAACCCACTAAAGGTGCAGTTCTATCACCCCCATCCTTGACCCACATAACCCTCCAAACTCAGAAGCTTGCATGCCCTCTTTATGCCCCAAATGAGGTGTGGTGGCAGCAGTCCCTGCCTCTCTCTTGGCTTGTGTCCTGCTTTTTATCTAGATAGCCAGGGAGAGAGAGGGGGGAGAAGGCTGGAATACTGACAGAAATTGGCATAAGTCCTTAGTCCCAGGCTTCTCACCTCTACACCTCTTCCTCTCCCCTTAAGTACATTTGTGACCTTGGTGAAGGCAGTAGCTGTGATTCTTTCCATGCTCACTGCAAGGAGGATAGGTCATGGGCTCACCCTTCAGAGTCCCAGCTTCTAGACTGAATGATCTTGGGGCTTGGGCTTCAGATACACCTATGCCCCCTGCCATAGGATCGTGCTTTAAAACAAGCAAAACTTCAGAAAAGCACAACGGTGCTTTTGTACAGCTCCTGTTTCTTTCTATATGGTTTCTGCAGGAGAAATTCCCAGTGGACTGTGCCTGTGACATGTAAGGGATATGTTCCAATCTCTGCAGCTGAAGAGCAACGAGAAGAATCAATGCTCTGACCAGCTGCAAATTTTACTGATCGAATGGTGGAATGTACATTCTGGTGATGGTAATATACTCAACAGTTATACACCCTTGCTCAGCAAAAGACTCTTTGGGCTGTGTCCTTGAGTTGTGCAGTGCTCTGTTTAGCACTTTTGCTTAATTATACTGTTTTCAAGAAAACATTGAGATGCAGATCTGAAAAAAAGTTTGGATGTATTTTAAACTCAAAGTTTTGTCTAATAAAAGGTGATGCCAGAACCATCTTCATTGGTTGTCCTCCTGAAATCACTGTATTGTATATTTGGGTGGGTAGCATGTACAACAGTAGAAAAAACTCATGTGGTTTTTAAAAAGTATTCTCACTCTTGCCACTTTATTTTGGAGGAAAGCAGCCAATCAGCACCCATTCTGATGTGGCAAGATTAAAATAATAAAGAATATGAATAGCGATCTCTCTTCTCTTTCACCTGTCCTGTAGCAGAGGATAGAAAAGATTTTTCTTCAGCAAAGTTTTGAACTTTTCTTCTCTTGATCAGAGCACTCTCATTATATATACTAAACTGTGGCTTAATTTCAGGATGGCTTCTGATTTCTTGCAGTGGACTTTCAACTAACTAAACTAGTTGGAGATCAAAGAACATCATGTAGCAGCAGAGCTCAGTTGTTCTTTGAGGCAACTGTTCTTCACATATACTAATATGGTTGCAAGATCGCGAGATAAACTGGACACTCAGGACTTTGGCCTCTTCTCAGGGTCTTTCACCATCAAAATCTTTGTGTGAAAAGCCAAATCAAGGGTTTGAGAAAATTGCTATTTACTTCCTCAATGTGTCCATCAAGTTTCACCCTTGTGGCACCAGGCAAAGTCAGACTCTCTCCCTGAGTCTCTAGCTTCGATCCTCCACCTTCACCAGATGCCACTATGCCCATCTCCACCCTACCTCCACAAACACTTGGCCTGGCCTAACACTAAGTCCCTTCTATGTATTGAGCTTGCATGGGAAAACTTGTTTGACTGCAGAAAGGAAGAGAGAATGTGCTTCCTGAAAGACCTCCTTGAGAAACCATTAGCAGTTGCTCTGCATCTTTTTCCAGAATGTACTTGAGACTGGATGTATATGAAATATTAAAAAATACTATCCCTATAAGAGAAACTGTGAGCAGTTTCATCAACCACATCTTGCATCAAATCTGACAGAGTTTCAACACAGCCCAGGTTAAGTATGCATTGAAGGCTGGATGGAGCCTTGAGGCCACTTGTGGGTTAGGTCTCCAGATGATGGAAAGAGGAAGAAAGCACAATCACTTTGCTATTGACTTGCGGGGGCGGGGGCGCAGGTTACACAAAACTAATCTTGGAATTACATGATATGAATTCTATGAAATAAAGAACCCCCCTCTTTAGCAAAAAATGTACATTCATTTATGATAAACTCTTGTTATCACGCGAAACTATAATTTAATTGGTCTGGTATGCTGCTGAAACTAAGAAACCATGGCTTGCGATCAGTCAGCAAACCAGATCAGAAATCATGATTTGAAATGTATTTTCAAATCATGGTGTGTGCAAACTATGGTTTGGTGTGATCTTTAAACTGGAAAAGCCACAGCTATGGCCACTATTTTGTCTTGAAGCAGAAAAGGACTTATGAAGCTGAGGAGCAGAAAACAAAGCAGATGGGCTTTAAACTTTAGTTTCCCTTTGGGCATCTGAAGATCAAATAATGGCCTCTTTCCAACAGAGATAAACAACCTGAGTCTGAAATCAACACAGCCACCTCAGACTTCGGGTGGGGCCTCACAACATGGAATACATTTTTCCCGAACTTGAATAATATATGGAAGGCAAAATAGGACAGGACTCTTTTCCTGTCATCTAGAGAGTCAGTGTGGTTAAGAGGGCTGCTCTGGGACTCAGGATAACTGGGTTTTAGCCCCACTCAGCCTTAAAGCCTCCCGGGTGACTTTGGGCCAGTCACTGCCTCTCAGCCTAACCTACCCCACAGGGTTGTTGCTGTGAAGGAGGGCAGGCTACAGGTGCAATGTAATAATCTAATTTTCTATGTGAAAGGATTCCTTTTTTCTTTTTGGTCATGGAGGATCCTTCAGCTGTATGAACCCTCAGCTTCATTATAAAGTGGGCCAACCTAGCAACAAGTTTAACACCCCAATTCTAGTTGTGATTCTGTAGTTAATACCAACCATGCTTTGGCATTCATTGTCTGTTAGTGTCTCATCACTGCATGTTATAGCTGTCAAGAAGTCTCTTGCTGTCAGTTTCAGCTCTGATCAGAACAGAAGCACCAAACCCAGTAACCAGAAATTCATCCCTTGATCTTTCGTACCCCGATTGAAGTTGGCCACAAGGCCAGGTTAAGATGTAAAGATCTCTGCAGTGCAGTATCTTCTCTGTATCTTCTCGGCTTTCCTCTTACCAGAGAGATGGGACTTTCTTCCACCTTGACCATCTGGGTGGAAGAAGGGAAGGAAAGGCAGGACTTGCCAAGGGAAGGAACGGAAGAAGCATGTGCAAGAAGCATGGCTAAAGCCCCTCAATCCGCATTACCCCACTGTTTCATTCTCTCTCTGTCCCACGCGTGCTCTTCAGGTGGTTTTACCAGATGCGACACTTTAGAACAGGATTCATTGAAGATTTACTCGAACAGTGGAAGTTCCTGGCGAAATCCTGGCTGTTTCTTAAGGACCCGAGGACACGGAGTGGCGGGGGGCTGTGTGGGTCCCTGTGCACGAAGGCTTGCAATCCCTCAAGGCTTTGGCGCCCACACATTGCCTGTAGAAAAGTCAAATCTTGTAAATACTGAGCAGTGTAGCAAGTGAGTCATTTTTCACACCAATCCTGCACATTCTTATCTGCCACTCTTCCCCTCATCTTTTGGGTGCCTTGATATTGGAGAAAGGCAGGATAGAAACTTCTTAAAAATACTTTTAAGAGGGCAAACATGCTTGTGCAACTCAGTGAGGAGAAAGCTGACTCGAGTTGGGAGCTATTTGGAGCAAAGAAAATGATCCTTTGTTAACAAAACGGCATCCTGGTTTATCAATTAAATGTGATTTGTCCAAATGAGAGTTCCTCACATTTACACAAAAAAGTGATTTCCTACAAACATGTCTGTAAGCTTTAAATTCCCTTCCCTCACAGGCAGAAGGTAGGTGAGGGAGAAGCAGAGGTATTGTCCGTGTTACATGTTACTGTATTTTACTGCTGTTGTACCCGGAATTAATTTGAGCATTACTGCTGTGGATTTGTTGAGGGCTTATTATTACTTTTTTAGCAATGCTTGTATACTGACGTATTATTTATCTTTGATTTTAATATATTGTTTTTTTATTTGTGTGTTTCAATTATGTAAACTATCCAGAGAGTCATTTTGACTTATGGGAAGTACAAAAATTAAATAACTAAATATATAAATAAATAGAGATGAATGAGAATTTCATTTGGATTCATTTTTACTTTGAATTTGGTCTGTTCACAACCTCGAATGAGAATAAAACAAAGGCACAATTTTCTAGAGAAGCTCACAAGTTCCCAAATTTGTGGCTGCATTTGAAAAATGTGCAGAAAGGAAGGGGGAAGCTAACATAACGAAATGGGAATGAGACGAACTGAGCTCAGAGGTGAAAATAAGAGAATATTCATAAGGCGGAACCTCACTGACTCCCTGAGTCCTAGAGAGAAGCACATGAACACTGGAGCTCAGTACCATTCACACACCTTGTTGCAAACATGAGCTCTTGACAAGTCTGAACTGGGCCAATTTCAGCAGCCCCTTGAATTTTATGGCTCCAGGATGAAAGGCTAATTTGGAAACACGAAAGGAAGCCAGCAGACCTTCTCTTCCTCTGCCATGCTGTCCTTGCACAGTTGCGGAAGTACCAGTGCCGAGTCCCAGGGCCGTGGCAGCAGTAAGGGGGAAGGGGTGCCTCCCCTTGGTCCACGAATGTAAGAGTTTGGACTCAGTTCAAATAAATGATAAAGGAAGAGGGCACACAAGGGGGAAACTTGGGCTTGGCACTAATGCAGCTTAATACCAGCCAGGACAAATCAGAGGAAATGAGAAAGAAAAGCAAAGTGTGAATTACATGGGCAAAGCTGATGAAGAAGAGTTGCCGATGTGACAGCCCAGGCCAAGGTAGCTCCTTTACCCCTCTGTGCTTTGCATGCCAGTTCTTATAGGCCTGTGGACAAAGAACAGAGAGAAAATCAAACTTCAGAACGTCATGCACAATTTTAGGCATGTCTTTCCAGGAGCAACCTCCAGGGAGAAGCTCCCCTTCTGCTAGGTTGTCAGGCTGACCCTGAGAGAACTAGACAGAGGGTGCTTCCAAGGAGAGGGCTCTTAGAGCTATCTGTCTGTCAAAACAGGTTATATTCCATATAACTTGAATGTGGTAAGGAAAAGGGAGGAAGATGAACTGGGAATGGAAGACAAGGTCATCTAGACCCAACAATAAAATTTTGTGAATGAGGCTGGGCCGACTGCACAATAAAGCCCTCACCTGGAAGCACCTTTAGCATGCTCCTTTTGCTCCCCCTCCGATTGAAGCCCCTGGGGCCCGGCAGGAGAGGACCTCTGCCGTGAAAAAAAGGCATACAAGAGAGTTACATGTCGGCGTGTAGATGCCCTCCCCACTGGAACATGGAAAATCAGCCCCGAGGTTTCCCTGCAGAGCCCTCCCGCCCATGCTGACCGGCTGCTCCCCAAGAGATAGGCTGCTCAAGCAGCAGACCTTGTATGTGGGGCTTGAACTAAGTAGCCCCCTTCTCTTGGCACAGGCATGGTCTGACACGTCCAGAAGCAGAACACGAAGGGCTGACCTTTTCCACATTTAATTCCTGATGCTTCTCATCTATGTGTTTTTAGGCAGTTTTGCCTTTTAAAAATTCATTGCTTTATCCTAAAAATCAAGCATAAGCCACCTTGAATACCTATTGGTGGAAAGGCAGAGCAGAATCACTTTGGCATGGTCCTGGGAAGGGTATATTGCTGTTCATTTCCTAATTATTGCGACCTCCAGGCAGGTAAGGCAGAGCCAGGTACTCTTAACATTTTAAATCTGTTTGTTGGGTAATAAATGGTGCAACATAGAAAGGCTGGCACCTGAAGGGCATTCATATTTATATTCCTTTATAGCTATAGTTTACACCAAAATTACTTTTCTTCTACCTGGGAAATGTACTATTTGGGGGGGAAATGTACTATTTGGGGATTGCATCTTCACCTACTCATTTTCTCATGCTCTGCCAGTCTACTGCTCAGCTTGGACTACTTGCACCGCATAATACCTGTTACCTAGTCAACCACATTTCCCATTGTTTTCTTGCACGTTCTCACTATACAGGCAGGAACCAAAGACTATTGCCTTATGTTGTCTCCTGCAAATTGCATTAAAAAGTAGTCTTGTCTTCTTGGGCAGTCTCAAGAGCTATTTCCTATCCTCCATTTTTTGTTCCATCACTTTCTTGCACAACACCACTGTTTAAGTATGCAGACAAGCTTCCCTTCTGTTCTGCAGCAATCAAGTTTGTTTGTTGTAATTTTCCTGGCATTTTCATGCAAAGATCACTTTCCATCCAAACCCCTGGACATCTATATACTTTGGTGAAATGCTATCTCTGTATGATCGTAAGAAAGAGAGAGAGAGAGAGAGAGAGAGAGAGAGAGAGAGAGAGAGAGAGAGAGACAGACAGAAGTGGGAGGTGAAATGTTTAATAATAGTGCTAATAGATAACATTGGTGGAGGCAGAAATAACATTCCTATATAATCTTGGGATCCATGAAGATGTGGGGGATGAATCAAATAGTGCTTATTGTGGATCCATAAGTGAACAACCTTAACTATGAATGGGCACACAGGAGCCCAGGGTACAAGAAGAAATTAGGTGGGCAACAAGTTACATGAGGTGAGCACCACGTAAGAGAGAGAAGGGAAGATGCATGGAGTGTAAAGGATGGACCGAGGAGAGGCTGAAGGCTGGGGCAGAGGACAGGCCGCTGTGAGCGCTGATGAGGGTCTGCTTTTGCTACCTGGTAAGCGATGGCAAGTCCCCCGGTGTCAGCTGCATTCTCCAGGAGGGTGAAGGTGCTGTTGATGCTGTAGCCCTTCAGGGAATAGCTCTCAAACTGTTTCACAAGACAGCTTATGCCTTGTGGCAGGGTTCTCACATCGCACACAGAACAGTTCTTCGGCAACACTGTGAACAAAAGAAAAATCCAGGAAGAAAAGTGACAATTTGCCCCACTGGCTGCTGCACCTTAGTACCATCCTGTGTACCCCAACACTTCTGTCCAAGAAACAGCTGAGGAGAGGAGGAAGTTATGTCACTGATGCAAGCCAAGACTGCACCTTGGAGCCTCTTGGGTCTGCACCAATATTTTGCCATCCAGAACTTGGCTATTGTAGCCATTTCACCATGCAGTGGGAGTCTGAAAGAGGGTCTTGTTTCTTCCCCCAGTTTCTTGAGGTGGTTTTTAATGCCAAAACAAAGGTGCTTTTAATTTGGCTTAGAGTTAACACGGTGACAGAATTAGGCATGAGCTAGGGCAGGCATTTCCTTGCTAGATTTTTCATTAGGGATTCTAATTTTGACCTAAGTGCTGTGTTTATAAGCTTAGTGGTTTTTATCTTACACTTGTGCACCAGAATTGCTCATCACCTACAAGCTGCCTAATACAAGGCAGCTGCTCCTTTTCTGAACAACTGTGCATGAAGGAGAAACCTGCCATGGACAGGCAGTGGGCAGAGGAAAGCCACCTTCTCCCTTGCGAGGATTTGAGACTGGAGCAAAGGCCTGGATCCCTGGCTCAAGAAAAAGTGGATGGTGGGGAAGAGGGAGTTGCAGTGGACACAAGGGGTAAGCACCTGTGTCCTACCCACCAGGTACTTTGCCCCTGAAAATAATCCCTCCTGATTCTGCTTTGCAGGTCAGAAATTGTTTAGCATAAAAAACCACTGGCTAGGGGGATTAAACAGGCGTTCTAAAATCTGTCCATCTATGTTTCATGGATTCCAAGCAGTTTCCATTCTGTTGTCCAGTCACTGACAAAATTAGATTTGTGCAAATACACAATGTGCCTCCCCTGCCAAAATATGCACACACACCCAATGCATATTTTCACACTTTAGCTTATGTGGGAAATGTGCATTTTTGCTTGATGTGTTTAAATAGTTTTAATATTTTTCTATGTCTACATTTGTGTTAAATTATATTTTTTTTGTAAAATAATGGCCCAGAAACCTGCAGAATCCACATGACTTGGGAAAAGCAGTCAGCTGCAAAATCCACAGGTCTGATTCCTATAAATCTGAACTCATGTGTTGCAGATTTCTTTGGCATCCCTACTTATGAGGATCTGTGCCTTTAGAGAAGCAAAACCCCACGATCAAGCCCTGCAGATTTCCCACAGTGCCTCACAGTACATACCATATTCATAGAAGGAGTGCAGCAGCTCATGTGCCATGAAAAAACCCATCGCTCCAAAGTTTACAGCACTGAAAATACACAAGATGAGGGCTTAGAAACTGCCACAGTCTTTAAATTACAGGATCTCTTTAGGGAAAGCCTACAAAATTTCAGCTGTGAATGGTATCTTCTTTTCCTGTGGACATATTCTAAACAGGGAGAGAGAAGGGTCAGGGTTTCCTGGGACACTGAAGAAGGCCTGCTAAAACTACCGCAGCTTGTCCCATACATGTCCACCTTTTCTACTCCATTGGAGATAGCAATACAGCGACTGTGGGGCCACACCACTCCCAAACACCTCTCCAGGTGCATGGCCCCTCCTGTGTGTGTGTTTTTTTAAACATGCATTTTATTTTTTAAAATATTTTTCTAGCAGGCATGCTAGAAAAAAAGCATTGGCTCTAGCCTCCAGCACCCCGTCTTCTTCCTTTGCTTTATCTCCTCAGAATGCCTCTGAATCCCACATAAGCCTGGAGCATTCATCAGATAGGAAGGGAAGAGGGTAGAACAGCTGTGGCAGAAACTCTGCTTTCTAGGGCTCCTCATCAGCCAGCTAAAACTGTCTGTCTGCCTGTCTGTCTACCTGTCTACCTATCTATCAAGAAAGAAGGGACTGGAATGTGACAGCAGCTGCGGGTATTTAGTAATCCAGCCCTGGGGGCTGGATGAGTTGTGCCTGCGCTTGGGCAAAGAGTGTGGTTTGCATGCATGGGCATCTTCTGTGCATGTGACAGCTTCACTTGTGTGACCCTCCCCCCACCTTTTATTCTGTGCACACCTGTGCATACAGTGTAGACACATGCATGTGCTGCTGCTGTTGGTTTGCTCTCTGGCTATGCCTGGGGCCTTTGTGATGTCTGCAGGTATGTGGGAGTTTTGCCTGGATGAGCCCTCTTATGTTTCCCCTGGGTGTGCATGAGTTCATTTTGCCTGCACACTTGCTGTTCTTTCTCGTGGGGGACAGGGTTAGTGGTTAATGATTACGTGGTTTCATTTTGGGTCCTCATACTCAACCTCAGCCTCACGCTCAGTTGCTTGGGGAAGCACTTGGCCTTTATGAAGACGCAGAGCTCCCCCAGCAGGCCCCACAGCAACCATTTTGTGGTGGTGCCCACAACAGTTTCTTAGGTCTCCAAATGTGCTAGCGAGTTCAAACAAACTGCTTTGGCAATTTTTGTGATGCTGCTTGTAATGTATTGCAGTGAATCTGTGATCATTGTATGGACACCTTTACCACTTTCCTTACCTGGGAAATGCAATATTGAAGAAGGGGTTGCGGAACATTCCAGCAGGGAAAACAACAGCATGACGCCGCAGCGAGTAGTATGAATGTACGGACCAAGGGGCCACTTCCCATCTGAAACAATTTTTTTTCTTTAAAGATAATGACAAAAGAAGGAACTATGGGCCAATACAATCATCTTTCCCTCCTCTATACCCTTCTCAATGAGTCTCTTCAAGCAACCTTAACTGAAATATGACAAGTTGCATGTGTGAATCATGAATCTAGTGTCACAAGCAGTTTTCATATAGTTCAAAATCATCACAAATGCAGCTTTTTTTTTTCAAAAGAGTCAGCTTTCACATTCAGCAGCCAGTCATCAAGTATTAAATAATCAAGTAATGTACAAGTACATATGAACCAGGCACATTCACATTTCTCTCCAGCTCATGGGCTTCAGAATCAACCGACTTTGCTACTGGAGTGGCAATCTACAATGCTTTAATAATAACAACGTAGTAGTAGTAGAAGTAGTAGTAGTAAATATTATTCTGAACTTTGTTTATAGTTCATGAAGTCATCTAGCTTTCAGCCTGCATCTGTTTTCCCCCTTACTTGTAAATGCTGCATATGTACATACTAAATCGGAATGCAATCTTGCTTTGATCACATGTATGTGCTAGTGTGAATCAGCATTCTATAAGGAATGTGTCAGTTCAGAAATTAATTTTAGAAATTCTCCAAGTTAAGTCGGAAGGCAGGCAGAGTGGAAAGCAGGGTAGAGCAAGAGCATGAAACCATAATGAAATGGATTGGAGGAAACGCATCTGTCACTGGTAAGAAGCACAGTCTAGCGTGAATGTGTGCGCTTCTTCCACTTCAGAGCAAAAACATACTCATCCTGTAGATGGGGATTAATGAGCCTCAGCAAAATCCTCTTCCGCAGAGACTTCAGGCAAGCAAGCACATTATAGAAAAATTTATCTTCTTGAATCTCCAGCTGAAGAAAGAATCAGGCAAAGAGGTTAGGAGCAGGAAAAGGAGCTGAGAAAGAAAGAAAATTCTTCACACACCATCTTGGCAAGAGTAATACACGTGTGTTCTACTTTGGTTTCCCACTGCAGGGATTTGGGGTCTGGGTTTTGCAGAAGGCTCCATAGGAAGCATTTTCCAGCACTTCCTTCTTCATTCCCCCAAGATCTGTAGCTTTCATCATCAAGTGTATTAATATCAAGTGCGTTGAGAGTTTTGATCCTTCTCTTCCCAAACTATCTGAATCTCTCACCAAAAAACCAGGGTGATTTTCACTGGGGTTGTGGTTGGGGAGGGAAAGGCTAAATCTTGCTTTCCTTCATGCTGTGGCCCTGATGACAAGTGGGCCCCCCTCTGCTTTAAGGGGGGGGGAGGGAAAACCCTGCACAGCGCTACACACTATGCATTTCATGTATTCCTGGAAATGCTGCTGTTTCCTCTGTTTTTATTGTTTTAGCTTTTGATTTATGGACTGCTGTTCTATGCTTTTGGAAGATGACAATAAAATGTTCTAAATTCACTTGCAACTCACCAGAAGCTGTGTGAATGAAATGACTATTGGGGCAGCAGCTGCATCTCCTCACAATCTTTGACTCCAAGAGATGATATGAAAAGGATCACATGCTGGTTTCAAATGGCGGAAAGAGGGCGTAGGCGATGGGGGCACAGGATGGGATGGTGGCAAAGCAAGTCACTGTTGTGAGGTGTCAGCTCACAGTTGTAAAATGACCCACACTTATGCCGGCAATAAAACTAAAGTCTTTTATTGCTACTTTTCTACAAGATTTACGATGCTACGAATAAGCTCTACTGTAATGACCTTTACAAGTTAGTTGCTACCTTCTTAGTGACATCCCTCAGGGTACACACGTGGGATTAGCTTTCTTTGTCCCACCTTTCCCCCCTGAGGTGGGATAAAGCCTCCTTTTGTTCCAATGGCGTAAGAGTCGTGCGAGACAAATCTATCCCGCCTCCTGCGTCTTCTGTGTCTTGCTCAGGAGACTCAGCGTCAGGAGGAAGGGGGGCATCCTGCCCATGCTCTTCAGGGGCAGAACTTGGAGTGTCTTTTCCCTCAGGGCCCTCGTGGTCAGACAGAGGCTTGGCTGTTTGCCCAAGGGGTAAAGGGTCAGGATGAGGGACGGCTCTCTGTTCAGCTACTCCCAAGCCAGGTTGTGGGAGGGTCACTTGGCCACAGGGCCTCAAGTATAAATCCTCCTGTTCTGATGTCTGATTCTCTCTTTGGGCGTTTGACTCTTCCTCGTGAAGTGCCGCCTCTGTTGAGGCATCAGGCATGACAGTCACATGCAAACTTACCTCTAGAAACTCATCTTCTACTTCATCTGTTTGGAGGATGTTTTCTGGGTAACCAATCTCCACTTGGAGACTATGCAGCTGAAAATATAAAAATAATCAGGAAGACATGTTGGGTTGGGTTGGGTTGGGTTGGGTTTTGGTTTGTGTTTGTTTTTGCTTTAAATACCTTCTAGAATGTATGGAGTTATGAATGGAAATGTGGCTGTTAAACAAGCAGTTACCACATTAGAGCCATATATTATGGGGCGGGGAGGGTGGACAAGGAACCTGATGGTCCCTGGAGTTAACTTAAACGTGTGGACTCCCCAGCAGTGCATGGTGTCAACCTGAGCTCTCTTCAGTTATGGAAGGGAACAGGGTCTGTAACCTCAACCTGTGTTACTGGCAAATAGTAGGAAACTTCTCGACCACTGAGGCCCAGTATACATGCTAGTTTTGATAACCAGCCAACGCACAGACATACTTTGTCCTTGGCCTCTTGGTGGGACTGGTGGCTCATCCATTCCACGTGATCCAGGTGGTTGTGGATAGTATCTCGGATCTCAGAGAATATCTTCTCAGCCTGGACAGGGAAAGAAGAGAGTTCCCCAAAATTAAGGAAAGATGTGGGCTACATGTTGACATGACACTAAATCATAGTTTAGCGTTACATGAATGAGCACTGGACTCATAAGCTCCCTTCTTCTCCTCCATGGCAGCTTGTCAGTATGTGTGAGCCTGGACAGACTATGGTCAGTGCCATGAAACACAACACAGCTCAGAATGGTTGCTTCTGCTCCTAGTTTTCTTCCATTAACCTAAGGTCCAAGTTTGCACCTAGCAAACTGTTTAGTTGGAAGCAGAAGCAAGAACCTCTGAGAAAATGGGAGGGGGAGGTGATGCACAAGCTGAAGGGTCATGCACAGAACCCTGAACAATGGTTTAGCATTACATTTGAAACCAGCCATAGTCCCTTCCACAGAAATGCTCCCTGTCTGGTGCAAGGAACAGAGAGATACATGCCCATTTATTGAGCTGTGACCCTCCTCTCCAATTCAGGATAGCACAGTAGCTCAATGGAGGGCAATGTGGGAGGTCTAGAAGAAAATTCCAGCATCGAACCCTTTTGCAGTCTGAAGGAAAGGAGTCCAGGCACAGGCTTGCTGCCTCAGTGAGGACTAGACCTCACTTTCACTGTGATAATTTGCAAGTGCATATACATATACATATCAATGCAGAGAAATGCAGTGATCCACAGACAAACTTCAAGGGTATCTATATTCTTCAGATGCAAAAAAATTGTTGCTTAGAAATAAGGCAGAAGATTCCTGTCATCGAAGGATCTTGGTAAAAACAAGTTCATACAACCAATCAATACTTTCCTTCATAATATAATATTTAGCCCAGAGCAGGTAACAATTGTAAGCTGATCTTCCTTAGAAACTCTTAGTAAGTTATCTTTTATAGGTGGGTGGATTGATCTTTGAGAGTTCTTACTCCTGCTGTAGTTTTTCTTTTTCTTTTTCTTTCTTTTTTGTTTTTGTTTTTCTTTTTACAGAGAGGCCCACCATATTGTGACAAAATACTCTTGCAGTGCCTTAAAAACTAGTTATGTATAATATGTCATAACGATTGTACTATATTGATTTTTTTTCTAAAACATTTTACTGAAACATTTCTAACTATGCAAATTTACTTTTACTTTATATATAATAATTAAAATTAAATTATTTCTTTTAAATGTTTGGTAAGTTTGAGGATTCATGACATGCTATGTTAATAATCCAATTAACATTTGCGGTGCAGTTCTGAAATAGTAAACACCATGGGAGAGCTGCTGGAATCACCACTACAGCATGCTAGGAGTAGAAGTTCAAGTCCTCCCTTCCCAGTCTCAGCCTTGATGAAAATCACTAGCAGGAGCATTATTCACCAATAGCGATTTGTGTGTGGGTACGCATATATGCACGTGTGTGCATATGTATGGCTGTGCAAATTTTCACTAAATGAGGAGGGAATGATTCAACTTGCCTTCCCTGCATAATGTGGTGTCAATGACAATTCCCATACCCAACATTAATCAGCACACTTAAATTTCAAAAGTACACAAACCGACTGCCAATCATGCTGTTAATATGCCTTGTATTTAGGCCCTCAGCTGTCAGTTAAAAGGCTGAAAGTTTCATATTTTCCAGCCGTTTAACCTCAGACTTAATAGAATCACTATTAGCAAGCTTCTGCAAACTAAAAAGTTATTTACACACGGAAAACATGATTATTTTCAGTGCTGACTTTAACATACAGATTGTGAGGAGTCGGATTTTAATAAAGAACCATTCTAAATGCAGATTCAATGGGAACTTAACTGAGCCTGATAATCTATTTATCCCTGAATGCTAGGTGCAAAACATCCCACAGCATAGATTACAGATGCTTCTTGCCTAATATTCATCTGGCAATGTTAGTAGCTGGAGTCTGTTCCCTGTTGTGCCAAAATTTGTTTTTAGTTGGAGAAACACAGGTTGCTTCAATCTCTTTCTCCAGGATAGTTTTCAATTACCTATTATGGAGAATTGAGATGGCATTCCTCTCAACTATTGCAATCAAGTGTGTTTTCTGTACTCTTGGTTTTTAAATGGCTAATTTTTCAGGGATTTGGGCTCTAAATACAATTCTGGCAGCAGCCCAACCCAGAGGGGCCTTCAAAACAGAATGTGGGGGCCCTTTCTTTTGTGTTATTTGCCCCACATTTTCTGGTGGCACTTCCATTTTCTGGTGCCCCCTTATCTCCAGTTACAATGAAATGAATCTCCTTACCACACATCTTTTCACTTTAGCCTAACCCAACAGGCTGTCCTCTCCTTCTGAACTTTCCTTCCCATCCTAATCTGTCAATATGTTAGTCTTTGCTCACAGGTTCATATATCTGTTGAAATTTTTGATTTCTATACGATGCTTAGGCACCATCATAATCTGAAGCTACTTTCTTTGAGTCAGACTGCTAATCCCTTCAACTTTTCCTACTCAAAGTTGCAGTAGCGATCAAGGCTTTCAGTGGTTTCCCTACAATTTCTTATCCTGGAGATCATAAGGAGTGAACATTGGTACTTCTGTATGTAGTCTAATATTGGTTCCTCTCCTAGTTCAGTATATTCAATTGCCTTATACTGGATCAGACCAGAACTAGCCTAGTATTTTCTCTCCATATTCTTAGGAAGAGGACTTTCCCAGTACCTGCGACCTGTAGATCTCACTAGAGATACTGGGGATAGAACCTACCTGGTAGGTTTAGCATATAAAGCATTTGTCCTAACATTGAGCTGGGCTTGGAGATGGAGGTGTCTGTAAGCAGATCGGTCAGGGAGATGCTGAGTTCAGCCAACAGCTCCTTTGCATGGAGGGCTGGAGGATGTCAGCCAGGATACTGAGATGCCACAGAATTCCCACTTCCAGGAACCACCCTATTTCCTTCCTTTGCAGTAGCATCCCTGCTAGTTCTGGTGGAAGTTGTGTCCCTGAACCTCCACTATCAAGACCAGCCAAGATTAAGAGGAAGGCACGGAATGCATCACTGTGGGATATTAGCCAAGAAGACAGATCAAAGTGAGTCAATGTCAGATATTATTGAATACCTACGAGATCCTTGGCCTTCTGGGGGAAGATCTTCTGCACTACCATCCTCCCAAGTACAGGGCCAAAGAATGTGCCGGTTTCACTCAAGCATTTTCTCCAACGCTCAGTTCTTACCTAAGAAAGAAAGGAAGATGACACTGGGAAATTCTACTGAGCAAGTAGCAGAGAATGAAATGGAGTGATGCCAGAATATACATCTCCCACCCTCTACATTCATGGCATAAATATATCTATCCTGAGAAAATGATGTGTAGTGCTGAGCTCAAATGATACTCCTCTCTGCTGCCCTGTTTATAGTCTACAAATGTGGATCAAAATTTTTGTGATACTTAAGGGGGGGTGGATTACTAGAACGAGCAGCAGCCCCCCCTTATCAAATGTCCTTCCCACGCCTCAAGAGCTATATATGTTCTCTCTCCCTGAGTTCCAATTTCTCCTCTTTGCAAATGAAAAGTTTCAAACAGGACTATCTACCTAGTGTTAATTATTTCTGCAACAGAAAATGAGGGTAGTAAAGGGAAGCAAAATCACCATTTCTGAGTCTCTTGTTCCTCTCTCTAGGATGTCTGCCAGTACCTGGCGAGCTTCTTGGAATTGCCTACTTAGAGCCGGGGACAGATTTCTAACCAGGCAGAGTATCATGTAGATCTGTAGTACATCTCTGGAAAAAACAAGATTTATTTCAGATTTGTTACATAACACTATATAGAATATTAAACTCGTTCAAGAGTGCTGTACTGAAATCCTAACAGTAAAAGAAATGCTGACATTTTATGAAGATAATTAATAAAAGTAAAGGTTCAACCCAATTAATAGTTACAAAGCAAAAAAGGCCTGCAACTCCCAGCATTCCTAGCTAGTGTTGTAGAAAGCAATGACCCTTTGATTTTCACATTACTCCGAGTGTTGATTGCCATTTTTGGCCTTAAAATGATTGCAAATATGTGTAGCTTAGTGGAAATTACATATAATAAAGCCTACATTAGGGGACACATACTAAAAGGCAGAAGTTAAAGGAAAATGCCAGCAAAAATGCTTTGTTAGAGGAAATTACATAGAAAGCTTTATGTGCAAGAAAATCTGCACAAAAATGCTTTTTTAAAAAATCCACAAATAGATGCAAAATAGGAGGGGAGAAACTTGGGCTTGATAAAATGCAAATATTATATGAAACAAAAGAGACAGAGCTGTCCATCCCTAAATGGCGGTGGGAGTGAAGAGAAATGCTAGTTGTGTGTTAGGGCCACCTACAGTCCCCCTCCCTCTGGACCAGTCCAGGGTCTAAAGTGATGTAGCTCACGCCACTGGGTGAGGTTGTGCTGCCCTTTAAGAATCAGCTCTGCCCCTCGGTGAGCTGCCACATCCATCAGTGCTGCTGAATGTCCCCATGGAGGCCAGGAGCACTTCTCATCTGCTTTGGTGGTGCATCAGGTACACTCCTTCCTAAAGAAACCAGACCTGCTTATCTATGACAAGATTAAGTCCAACTGTTTATGGATTAACTTAGCTTTAAGGGAAGTGGCTTGAATGTGTATTCTGGAAACTAAAACCACATTCAGTGTTCATCTAAACTTGTTCCACCATGCTTAAAACACTATACCTGACTGCGCTGTAAAGTTTATTGTTCTTGCAGCCTGGTTGCATTTTTTTATTTTATGTCATTTTTATAAAAGAAAATGTTTATCTAAATGTAACAGTCTTGTACTGCTGTAACCAAGTCTTGTATATTTTTTAATATTACTGTCATTGTTATGACCTGTTTAGTTCAATAATAAAACTTAAGCAAGGTTTAGAGTCAAGAATGCAACATGTTAATTTATTATATTGGGGTTTAATTGGCCATGGTCTAGAGAGTTATTACCAAGATGGGCGAGGGCAGTGCTGGATGCCCTCTGTTAGAGATATGGCTATAAAACCATAGTCTTTTTCTTTGTGGAACAAGCTTCACAGCGTTTGCCTGCGAGATACTGAAGCAGCCTGCATAACGACACTCCCATGAGTCAATGCGCGGCCCTAACCTTCCCCCTCCATGTGGCCTGCCTAAGTAAATAAGGACAGGCTGCCTCTGCTCTTCCAGGCAGCAGAAGCCACAGTGCCACACAGCCGTTCCATACCTTTTCTGCTGCCACTGTTCAATCAGCTGTGACATTCCTTTCAAATAATCCATGTCATGCGCAACAATTGGCTGGGAGATGTTCAGCTGTACAGGATAGAAAGCAGCCCTGAGGCACGACAGCCAATCAATTGCAGGAGCCTTTTCCTAAAAGCAGAAACAAATGGTGTACTAAGACAATTTCAGATCACCTTCCTAGAACCCGAGGAGAGCGTTCCCTTAGTATACAACTGCCATGAATGATGCAATGGCTACAGATCAGGTCTGATCAGAATTTATCAAAATTCTTAAAGTTCCCTGTATTCAAGATAAAAAGAACTTCCATTTTTTAAAGCCCACATGTAGGAAAATGAAACGAACAGGCCATCTAGGCTCAGGACTGTGCGTATTTATTAACTCCCTGAAAACTTAATTTGAATCCTTGCGAATTCAGCAATAGTGCTTAATTAGGGGTGTGAGTCATTTTTTTCTGACGTATTCCTCATCTTTGACAGCTGTGGGGCAAGCAGATCCATCATGTTCCTCTTCATGCTGGGAGACATGCTATTAAAAAAAATTGCCAATTTATTTGGTTTGATTTGCTAGTGGAGAGAGAAAAAAGTTCATTACTCACTTTCTCTAAAGCAGGCATAAATTTAGTTATTATTATTTATTTATAGTTTTTATATGCTGCCCCAATACTAAAAGTCACTTGAGTTGTCTTTTTTCCTAATGCTTTAGCCTTTCCTGATATGAACGGATCTCCAGCCCCCAGATTATTCTGGTTGCCCTTTCTGTGCCTTCTCTGACTCTACAATATTTTTATTGTACAGAACTGTACACAGTACTCCAACATATATCGAAGTAGAGTTTTAGGCTGAGTGCTAAGAAAAACTTGTTAACTTGTGGACAACAGGTGATTAGCCATGGATGTAGGGTAGGGTTCACCTAGCAAGGAGGCAGAACTCCTTGGATGTTTTCAGTAAACACTTCAACTAGTTTCTGTTGCTGAAGAGAAAATTAGTCTGAGGTCAAGGTACTGCACTTCATGGTAAATATATTTAGAAGGGAAAAAAACCCTCCTTGCAATTCCCCCTCCCTCATGTTTTAAGGAAGTCCTCCTTGAACTGAAGCAACAGCCTTGCAGTACAGGATTTTCCTACTTATTTCCTACCCATGTGAGAACCAGAATTCCTCATTTCTGCAGCTGCTGCTCACAGATGCATGCACGCCTGTTCTCTCTGCACGTTTTCTGGACTACTCTTGTTCCCCTTGTTCCTGTGGAGCACTCCCTCCTTCAGCATTCTTCCCTGTCTCTCTTAGTTTGTCATCTGGCATCACCCTGCCTCTTATTTTACTCCTTCTCTTTCTCTTTTGGCTGCGTCTTTTTAATATCACAGCATTTCAGGCATGGCAGCTAGAAACCCTGCTACTTAGCCTGTCTCTCTGTCACATTAGAAACGTTCAGCCAGTGATTGGAGCTGTTCTCATCACGTGACAGTTGATCATGGGTTATGTAAGCTAGGGTGAGGCTGTGGCATGTGCAACTGTCGTTTTGAATATGCAACCCACACTCAGGGGGTTGTCATGTCATGTGACTCCAGAGAGCATGAGTTATGCAAAGGTTAAACAACCCTCATATAATCCATGGTCTGTTTTAGGATGATATGAGGGTTGTTTAACTCTCACATAACCCACGCTCTCCAGGTGGACACAAAATGGCAACACACAAGTGGTGGCTGCATGTGGAAAATGGCACCCATGGGTTAAATAACCCACGATAAGCCACAGCATACCATCTGAACCCAGTCAATGTCAGGCATTTTTCAAATAACTTAGGATATTTCAATCCAAACCACAGTTTAACAAAAACGATGGAACTATTTCAAGCCAGGAGACTCACAAAGGCCTCTTGAAACTAAAGTAGCCATTTTTTTTTTTTTTTTTGAGCCTCCAGATGAGCTAAATAGAATTGTTACTCCTTACGGGTATGTTTCAGACCTGCAATTCTCTGATGGTGGTACGGTAAAATAACATCTTCTTTTCCTGTCGTGTCTTCAAGGGTGTAACTGCCTTCTGGAGGTTAGAAATAAAGGAGAATGCCAAGGATATGTAGGTGGAAGTGACATCTGGATGTCCTCCCATCAGCTTTCCTAGCTTCAGGAGGTACAAATAATAGGAACGCAGGACCTGTAAAAAATAAATGAATGAATAAACTTTACTATCAAACAGAATTTGAGTTTGTTCTCACACTATTTGCTTTTTCAGACCAAAGCATAAAATTCCTCAGACACCTCACAGCCATCCACACACATATGGACAACATTCACCTCAGTATGATAGCCTACCTCAGGATAAGTTACTGGTTTCCTGAAGTTAGCTTCCAGTGGCAACTCAAACTCCGGATGGTCAATCTGAGAAAGCAAGGCTTGGATCAGTTAGTAGCAGCAGGATAATAAAAGAATGCAATAGGTGGTAGGGATTGAATGGTATTAAACTTGCAGCAAATGGGAGATTAGTCATGAAAGTCTATGGAACTTTCTCCCATGGAAAGAGGACTGCAGAAGGACAGTCTGTTGTCAGGTGTGATACTAGGTACTTAAAAGATCCACAAGGCACAAACTTGCATAGAATTCGCATAGGCACAGGTTCAAACTTAGCCCAGTTTTCAGTGGAAAAATAATCCACCCATAGCTCTTGCCATTTTAAACATCAGTAACATTTTTTACACTAACATTGTTATACCACCGAAATAAGGAACTAGGTTCTGTAGTTAAGCAACATTTGACCTTGGACTAAATGGTTTTATGGCAAAGTGGGGCACTGTTTAGATTTGTCTTCCCCAAGCTAGTACCTTCTAGATGTTTTGGACTAAAACCCTACCCAGCACAGAAGATGTTCAGGGATGCAGTCCAAAACTGGAGGGCATCAGGTTGGGAGAAGGCTAATTTAGATGGTACTGTCTTTGCCTCAAAATGTGATCACAATAAATGAATTAACTGATGCTCTTTGAGAATCGTATCTCTCTCTCCTATAGTTAGCTCTTTGACAGCTTTCCAGTCTTTAGAAGGTCACAACCTCTTTTTATGGACAGGTCAGAATTCCCTCCTTACATTCCTTCTCCAATACACATCCATATGATTCTGTAAAATGCATATTAGCAGTCCAAAGTAAGCCCTGTGAAAAATGCTACCATTTCTGGCCACCCATTCCACACCTCCCAGTTTGCTTGGCTCCTTTAAAGTAACCACTTCTGCTTGGTTTCCTGTTTACCTAACAGTTCTGCCTCTGGCTGCAATCCTACATATATTTACTTGAGAGTAAGTCTCTAACACTATGAAACTTACTTCTAAGTGTACAGGCAAAGGATTGTACATATTTAGCTTTATTATCCCCTCCCCACCTTCCCACGGGCAAAAGGTCTGAAATACAGAATCTCTGCAAAAACAGAAAAGAAGCTGTTGATTCATAATTCACTAAAAGGCAAAAGCAGAAAATGCATCCCTGATCTCACTGCTGCTAGCAAAATTGATTTTTTTTTTTTTAAGAAGCAGCTTTCTCTCCCACAAGACATTGAACACAGACTTGAAGTCCAGTTTCTCTCTTACAAAGGAAGCATTCTGAATAAAATCAAAGACAATTCCAGGAATTGTTAGGTTAAATAGTGGAGGTTAGTCAAAGTCTAAGTGCTAGAGCTGAAAAAAACCCCAAAAAAGAAAACTCAGCAAAAGCAACAAACAACTCAGGAGAGGAGGCATTAGCAACATGGGATTATTCTTCCTGTGCTGTGGATCTGAAATATTAATACACAGGTCAGATGCATTTCATAAAACAGGGGTCCCTCCAAACCAAAACATTTGCCAACAAAGCTTCCTGATTTTGGTCCAGTTGTATCATAACTTGTCCCCTCAGCACTCGACGTGCTTGACTGCATGTGGTCTACAAGCCCTGAGGAGTAAGCAGTAGCTTGTCCTATCCACAATTTTTGTTAAAACAACGCTTTCCTTTTTTTGGCTCAGGTAACCAATCGCACAGAATTTCTCATGACCCTGCTCTGTTGTCTAACCCTTGCCTCCTGATGTTCCTACCTGGATAATATTGGTGCTTGGATCAGAGAAAATGGGTCCCACATAAGCTTTGAAGAAAGGAAAGGTATTGTACTTTTCCATGAGTATCTGAAGAGTCTGGTTAAAATCTGTCTCTTTCCAGGGGCCTGTGATGTTCCAGCCACCAACCTGAACAAAGACAAAACAAAGAGACCTGACGATCACTGCTGAGAACAACCATACTGAATAGTCTTGACTTCTGAACTAGGAAGTGCCCATTTCAAATGTTGCTCCAACTCTGAACTCACCTGTAGCCACACTACATTTCACACTAGAAGTATCATCAGGAAGTCCCCTCAATCCTGCTATTACGTTTTTTAAAAAGACAGATGGGTTTCTGGTTTGGACCTTTGGCAAAACGTAGGGAAGGCACCGTCTCTGTCCCCATTTGTAACATGGAGACAGCAATAGAGATCTGTACATTAGCGTTCTTATCAGGTTGAATTACAGCATAGACAGAATGCTGTGGAGTGTCTGAAGTAGTAGATACTATCTCAGGAATTCCTACAAGAAACCTTCCAAGATAGGCCATTGTTATGGAAACAAGAAAAATCTAAAGTGATTTTTTTCCAATGGATATTTCAAGGCTGAAGACTAGCTTTGGGAGTATGGGTGTAAAATGTTCTCCAAGTGTCCCCTTTATCAGTACTATTTTTGCACGGCTGGGAGACTTGGGAGCTCATTTGTTCCTCTGCCACTTTGTGTCATCATCCCAAGCGTCCTCCTTTCCTGAGTGGACTCATGAGCCAGTAAATAATGCAGTGGCATCATACTGCCACATACTCAGGCAGAGCTCATGATGCATTCGAGTCGACATTTCTCCCTCAGTTTACGTTGCTGTGGAAAGGGGAGGGAACATTTCTGTAGCTGAGGCAAACTGGGCCAGGCAGCTTTGCTCTCAGGCCTCCAAACTGGTGGGTGGGGAAATACCTCCATGAGCTTGGCAATCGCTCTGTGATGTCCAGACAAGAAATTGTCCCCCAGGATGCACCGGCAACATTTTCACCAACTTTTGAGCACCCTCCAAAATTCCCAAAGTCTGGAGCAGTTTTCACAGTGGACAGAAAGTTGAATGAAAGTTATAGGTCACCTCCAGGATGAAGTACTTTCACCCTATAAAATGCTATCATATGATTATAGTCACCAGCATTGCAATGACTTCTTCCTATTTATATTCAGATTTACATATGTTATCCATTTTAGCATGAACAGGTTCTGCCTGCACCCTGCCCAGAGAATGAATACAGATGCATTGCAATATACATTCATATGCATATCAACCAACACAGCCCCATTAACATGACAAGCCCTGGACAGCAGTGTGCAAATGTCCATCTTGTTGAATGTAATATAAACCCCCAATCACTGCCTTGAACTGTCAAGTCATTATTTAATGCTGCAGTGATTTAGCAATTAAGGAAGTCTTTGTAAGAGAGATTTGAAAATAAATTTCCCCCTGATTTTTGAATACTGTCAATTTTGAAGTAAGATTTGTGCTCATTTATTCTTCATTCTTTGCCATAGAAACTGGCCTGTTTGCCCAATGTAAAATGAGGGAGGGCACTATTGACAAAAGATGGTCTATATCACAATGGAAGAGGAGTATGGGAATGAACCCTATATATTGTAGATGAATGTATTATACCCTGTAATAGTGTTGCTAGGGTAGATATGGGGCCACAGCTGGGGTCTGAGCGTTATGGGGTCTGGTCCCTGTGTTTTTGTCCTTGTTACGTGGCCTCTGTTGCTAGTGAGTAGCTCGTTTAGTTGGAAACTGACTATAAGCAAGCACAAGCCTGCCATTCAAGGCCTGTGAGAGGGAGGTGTCATTGTTCAAGAGTGGCTGTAATAATTGAGGATAGTCTGAGGTGTCTTTAGCCACAGGGACAACAAGTGGTACTCCTCTTCAAAATAGGAAAAGAACCCTTCAGCCACACTGTCACCAACCTTGACATGGCAGGAAAAGAAGAGCTCATTCTTGTCCACTGAATTAGGATGGATTACAGTATTAAAATCTTTCTATCTTTCCATAAATCCTACTGTGTTGAAGGTAAGGGGATAATAGCATTCTAAGTCTGATAAACATAAAAATTATGCCTGCTTTATGCATTCAAGAAAAATAACTGTGACTCTTATTAATCTAGCAAAATCAATATGTCTGGCATTTTACAGTTTAACATACACCAGAAACAACAGGTTCTTGCTCCCAAATTTTTTACAATTTAAACTTCAGTAGTGGGGAAAACATCAGAGGGAGGGGAAATAAGTAAGAAATAAGTAATGGTAAGAAATAAGAGTAAGATGGAGCAAATGTAAGGAAATGCAAAAATGGGTAGCAACCTTAATAGGTATAACAGGAAATTCGGAGAAAAGAGTGCTGGGCATGATACATGGATGTTTTACGACAGCTGTCTGTTAGGAATGACCTAACAAATGCTATCATCTACCAATCACGCAATGACCTACCAAATAATCATCACCTCAGCAGTGATCTGAGATCCAGTGCTGCTTATTCTTAATTAAATGTCCACGCTTACTTGTTATTTCTTACTATGCCCAGTAAGACGAGCATGGGTCCAGGTATGAGAGGGTATGTTTGTAGAGGGGGCACACACACACATTTCTGGGCAGTGATCACCTCATTCACAAGCTCCTTCAAAGGCTGAGCACCTTCAGCATCAATCTGTTCTGTGTTCATGCAAGAGCTGTAAAACCGCACCGCTTTTTCGTTTGCTGAGCTTTTAACCCCAAGCTGTGGTTCCTCTGGGGAAGAAAAGGCAGGTGTCAGACAAACAAGCTGAGAGGTTCCAAAACTGGCCACATAACAGCAGGAAATGATGGTAAAAAGTTAAAAGGCATGGTGAAACAGCAATGCTAGAATCTAACTGCGGCAGAACTGACAGTAGGAAATGAAGATTTTCTAGAACATTAGGGGGAAAATGAAAAATTGGAACAACCTGGCATGCTTTCAGACTTTAGAGGGTGATAGAGAGTATGTTGCATCAACCCACTTATTGCCCTATAACTTATCCATTCTCTTCTCCTACACCCTCCCTTCCTCTCCCACGCTTTCCCCCTGAAGAAAGCTAATAATTCATGCCTCTGCCAACTTAAGACTGATTCCCCCAGCTTTAGGGGGCAGATAGGCTTCTCTGACGATGTGTATAAAAGCACTAATAAAATGATTTGTTTTGCTCAACTGGCTCTAGCCCGCATGAATTCCCTAAATGTATGTACCAAATGCTGTTTTGCCACACTTTCATTATAGAAGACTTCTGCTGTAACATCAGAATCCTGACTTTTTTGGGCCCCAGAAGCACTTGTTCCTTCTTTCAATAACTAGGGATTGAATCAGTTTAAAAAGCCAAAGCAACACACATATCAAAACAAGTCTTGAGATTTTTATTTGTTTTACATCAGAACCCTGGATGAGGACAAGCGGTGATTCCTAAATGAAATGCAGTGAATGATCATGTATGGTGCTTCAGATTGAAAAACTAACTCAAAGTGAGTGGGACACTCAAAGCATTTGATAAGGAGAGGCAAGAGAAGAATCCATTGCAAGAGGGGACTCCCAAGACATAAATGCAAGAAATGCTTCCCAGATCATCAGACTGATCAGATCCGGGTGTTTACCAGGAGAAGAACTGGCTGCAGATATGCTTAAGGTGCTGCATGAATTATATGAGGAAGAAGAGATCCAAAGACAAGTTTTATTGGTTTTTCTGAAAATTTAAAGGAAGATGAGGATGTTGATCAGCTTATTGCAAGTCTACTAAATATATAAGTTGATCAGATGAGGCCAAATATTGATTCACTAAAAATTACACTACTTCTAACTTTCCTTCCACATTTCAACATTTAATGCAAAAGAAAGAATGTTAAGTGATTTACTAAGCTCTAAAGGAGGTAAGGCACTGAAACAAAAAGCACATGAAGAAACTGGAGCACACTTGGGCTCTCACTGCACGCCCACCACAACCAAGCTTTAAGATGGGCATCTTGAAAGCCAACCAAAGCAAAGCAAGCACAAATGGGCTACTCACATGCTTTAAATGTGAAAAAAGAGCCATCCCTAGAGAGAGCACTGGAATAATTTTAAGTGCTCCAAGGAGACACAGAACCAAATCAAAGCTATATGGCTGATAAATAGTGGGACATCTCTGCATGTGTCCACTGATGCCATGATCTAAACCCAAATGCAAGTGGAAGTATGCATTTGGCTGATGGAAAACGTATTTAGAGTTGCTTGGGACCCTAAGGCTAAAAGATACTAAACAAATGTCTCTGCTAGTGGAAACACGTTTCTATAGAGAACATAAACCTAGTGAGTGAGCTCCTGCCAGAAAACCATTGCTACAGAGAGGCGATTGGTAACTTTCTATACCAAGCTGCAGCCACTAGGCCTGACATAGCCATCGCACAGGCACGCTATGCAGGAAAACCAGCTCGCCCAGACAAAGGGACTAGATTGCAGCCAAAGGCACCTTGTCCAGGTGCCCTGTCTGCCTGATGACTAGCCTGGAGTGTTTGCATCTTGTGCTGGGGATTCTGCTGGGGTACCACCCACCCTGCAACCCATCGGTCTCCCTACTTGAGCTGATGGAGGTGGTCTCAGATGTGACCAAAGCTGTTGGTTCTGGGGAATTTCAACATTCATGCTCAGGGCATCCTATCTGGAGTGGTTCAGGATTTCATGGCTGTCTTGACAACCATGGGGCTGCCCCAAAATGTCATTGGCCTGACTCATGTGGCAGGGCACACTCTAGAGTTGGTCTTCTTAGTCAAATATGAGGATGGTGCTCTAAGAACAGGGGAGGGGGGTTCAAGTCAGTCCGTTTGTCATGATCAGATCACCACCTGCTGAGATTTACACTGATGGCAGCTTTTTTATTTATTTTATTTATTAAAACATTTTTATGCCGCCCCATTCGCCGAAGCCTCG